ACAGGCTGGGCTCCAGCGCAGCGGCCCCTGCAGCAAGGTAACGCTGAAGAAGCTGCTGAGGCGGCGTCCCCTCCCCTTCCTCCAGCGGCTCCACAGCGCCGACGCCTCCGCCACAGCCGCCCGTGGCAGGGATCATCATCCCCTCCTGGCCCACTGGCTCGGGCGCCGGCACAGAGAACAACTTGGGGTTTCTTCCCGAGCAGGCTCCGGCATCCTCCGGACCCACCATCTGGGGCCGGGAGAGCGTCACCGGAGGAGGCGGCGGAGACTCCCCCGCGCAGGATCGGCCCCGGAATGGCCCTTGGTGCTGGGGCCGCGGCGGCCGCCGCAGCAACCTTCCCAGACCCACCCCTCCCACCGGGGTTCGGGCAGTTGCGGGAGGGCGGGCACGTGCCTAGGCTTGCGCACGCGCAAAAGCCGGACGGGTCAAGCGCCGACCTGGGGATTCCGCGAACCATAGAGACGGCAGCTAGAGAGACGCGCTCCGTGACACTCCCGCGGCCAATTTGGGATCCGCCATCCGGTTGGTTGGCCCACTCGGAGATGACAGTTCTTAAAGAAGCTCGGGAATGGCTCGCTTAGCAAAAAATTCACTTGACGTACTTAGTGTATAGGATTAGATAGAATACAGGATGTTAGCTGTATTTCCTTCCAGCCACCAGTCGACTTCACACGTCTACATCCCCCTTCTCCATCGCCATTGCCACAATTTAGGACTTCACCTCATGTCAACACCTTCTCTTCTCCACTTCATCTTCCACAATACTGCTAAAGTTATCTTATCCAATACCACGTTTTATCACATTGCTCTTCATAAAGATTTCCATTATCACTCAAGGAGGGAGGGGAGAGTCATACAGAGAGAGGCTATTGAAATAATTCCAGCACCCTGTGATAATGGATTAAAATGGGGTGATAACCGCTGAGTGGAAATGAAGTGTGTTTAGCGTAGAAATCAGTGCTCGCTTCAGCAGCACATACATGAAAATTGGAACGAAGGAGAGGTCAGCATGGCCTCTGCGCAAGAATGGCAGGCAAATTCATGAAGCGCTGTATATTTTAAGGCTAAGCAAGCAACTAAAAATTAAGCTATGGCTGCGACTAAGGTTCCCACGAAGGCCACACCTAGGCAAAAGATTGTGACACCTGTGAGGGTTTCTACTCCCCGAGTTGGTGGAAAACGCTAAATTGGCAGATTAGATTTTTTAGAAAAGATTGACGATAACTAAAAAAATAAAATAAAAATAAAGTAGAAATCACAAAACCTGATAACATCATTTCGAAGTGATTGAAGAGGCAGGAACCAGTAATTACTACAAAACTCTTGAGACTGAAAGTGATGTGGTACGAAGAAATGGGGACTGGGATTGGAAAAACTTGATTAATAGGGGAAATATATCTAGTAAAGTAAAAGACTGGGACAATCCGGCCTATAGTTCAAGGTCTAAAACTTAGATTATGGCTTAGGTTTGGAGATGCAGATTGAAAAAGAGTCATCTGTATAATGTAGCTGAAGTCATGAGTGACACAGCTTAGGAAGAAAAAATAAAGATGGAAATGGGGCACTTACAAATGTATATATAATTCTTAAAAATAAAATTATTCTGAATTTTTAAAGTCATTTTAGGATGGACAAATGTTATATTGCAAGAGATTAAAGAAGCACTACTTGTGGATAAAATGAAGCAACAATTATAGACCGCTCATTCTAGAACTATGTCAACGAGAGGAGAGAAATAGAATGCAGTAGTAATTAGAGGAAAGAACATTGTCAAGCCTTATAAATATATATACATATACATGAAAGAGTGAATATAACCTATATATGAATAATAATACATAAGTAAAAAAATGGACATCCATATTCCCAGCACCCAGTTTAAAAATCATCAAATGTCTATCATAATTAGCATTTTCGAAGGCCCTAAAAAAGACAAAGCGTCATGGGCATAGATAGCAATGCATTTATTGTCAAGATCTTTCAGAGGAAGAGATGACTTCCAGAACATAGGTGGAAGAGTTAATATAGGAAGAGAGAAAATACTTGCAAATCATATATCTGATAAGAGTCTGATATCAGGATATAGAAAGAATTCATACAACTCAATAAGAAGACAAACAACCTAATTATAAAATGGGTAAAGGACTTGAACAGACATTTCTCCAAAGAAGATATGCTGTCAATAAACATATGAAATAATTCTCAACATCATTAGTCATTAGAGAAATGCAAATCAAAACCACAAGATAGCACTCACACCTACTAGGATGGCTATAATCAAAATAAGTGTAAAATAAAAAGTGTTGTAGAGGATGTGAAGAAAGTGGAATCCTCACACATTGCTGGTAGAAATGTGAAATGGTACAGCTGCTATGGAAAAGATTTGGTGGTTGGTTCCTCAATAAGTTGAACATAAAATTAGCACATGATCCAGCATTTCTACTCTTAGGTAAGAGTGGAAAGATGTTCAAACAAAACTGAAAGAGTTGAAAGATGTTCAAACAAAAACTTGTGCATGGCTATTCACAGCAGCACTATTCATAAAAACCAAAAGATGGAAATGACCCAAATGTCCATCAACAGAGGAATGGATAAAGAAAATGTGTTATATCCATAAATGGATTATTAGATACAAAAAGGAATGAAATGTTGATATATGCTACAAAATGAATGAATCTCAAAAACATTATGTAAAGTGAAAGAAGTCAGACTCAAAAGGTCCATATTGTATAATTCCATTTATATGAACTATTCAGGATAGGTAAAACCTGAATAGTTCATATTATACGGAAAGAATGCAGATTGGTGATTGTCAATGGTTGGGAGAAGGATATGGGGTTTCTGGAGTGATGAAAATGTTTTGGAAATAGATGAGGTGGTGATTTCATGACATTGTGAATGTACTAAATACCACTAAATTGTACACTTTTAATGGCTTTATTTTATGTAAATTTTACCTCAATTAAAAATTTTAAAGTTAATATAAGACATGTCTAGATATATTTATGGTTATATGATGGTAAAGATGAGGGTAGCTAAGAGTCTAATCTCAATCTTTTGTCTATTCATCCTTTTCCCTCTCTTATAGAAAATTCATCCTTATAATTCATGCTGTCAAACCTTTCCTAATTATCTTGTTAATTTATTCCTTCCTAGCTACTACTCTATTTCTCCATCTATGAAATTATCCTATTTTTAAGCTTCAGTTTCTCTAACTGGTTTATTTTGTTCATCTCCTTCCTCTTGTATGGTCAACAGCAGCACAAGTTTTATGAACCACACTAGCCCATACAACTATTTTCTCAGGTCACACTTCAAAGATGGAACACATTTATTTGTATTTTGTAACTTTGTTTACAATAATATGTGTTACATAATACTAAATTTCGTTAATGTTTTTTAGTTAGTGGTTTTAGTTCTCACTTTCTGCAATAAACGTTTGTCTTATCTGATAAGTTATATATTTCATTTTACAAAAAAAATTGATTTTCAAGGTGTAACATATTCTTTTTGCAGTCCTTAAGAGTTTGACATTAAAAACTTTTGATAACATATTACTACATTACTACAACTCTAGGCATAAATAATACATCCTGGTACATTCCTATAAATCAGATGAAACTATTATGATGAGAAAGAATATTTATAATCTCTGGTTTAAAATATTAATTATTTAAAATATGGAAAACCATTGATATACTTGGATTCTTACATTTTCTAAGAAAATTTGACTTTCACAGAAATTCTCAAAATACATATAATTATTCTACATGTATGACCCAATGTATTCTACACATATGACCCAATCTTCAATAGGAAGGGTGAAATATGGTACCATTATCCATATTATTATTTTGCTACAGTTGTGCTCAGGAAGAGTACAAAGGCCTCAAAGAAAAGGCCACAAAACTCCTCATATTTTCTTTAATCCTCAACATTTTTCTTGTTATACCAGATTACCAAAAAGCATTCAAACATGCTTTACCTTCTAAGGTGTTAAAACACCACCCAAATACCCTTGAGCAATGTTCCTCAAACTTAGCTTCACATTTAGGAAGTTTTATAAAATGCTGATGTCTGGGCCCCACACAAGCCCAGCTAAGTCAACATCTCTGGAGGAGGAGCCCTTACACTGGTATTAAAAGCTACTCAAGTAATTCTAATTTGCAGCCAATGTTGAGAAATATTGCCTTATATCTACAACCTTATTTCTCTGCTTCCCTGAACAAGCAAACTTCTTTGAAAAGATGTTCCACATTGTGCACTTCCAGATGTGATATCTTGAGAAAGATACAATGTGGCTAAGAGTGTATAACCTCAACTTAATTACACAAAATCATCAGACAAACTCTAAATGAGAAAAATTATATTTAAAAAGTGAAATGGGAGCAACTCTATTCTTCAAAAAGTGCCAGTATCATAAAAGGCAAAGAAAAGTTATGGACATGTTCAAGATTAAAGATTAAAACAATATGACAATTACATGCAATATCTGCCCCTAAACTGGATTTCGTACTAAAGAAAATAACATCCTATGAAGGACAATATTAGATCAATAGACATAACTGTCATACGCACAGTGGATTAAATAAAGGTGTCAGTGTAAGTATTGATATTTTCAATTGATAATTGCTATATCAGTTCTATAAGAAAATATTTCTATTCTTAGGAAATCACACTGGAGTATTTCAGATAAAGAGCCACAGTATGTATAATTTACCACTAAAAATTCAGGGAAAAAATTTGCATGTACACAAATACACACACAGCAAGTGGCAAATAGAATAAAATGTTAATAGTAGGCAAATCTGAGAAAGATATATGAGTATTCCTTGTACTATTTTTATGTTTATGACTTTTTCGTAAGTTTAAGCTTTTTCCAAAACAATTTTTTAAAAATGTCTCCATTTTCTCCATTCTAGCTTCTGTTCATAATCCCATACTCTCAATAATGACTTCCCTGTCCTTAATCCAATAGAAAGTTCTCAGTCTCCATCTTGCTTGATCTTTCAACAGCATTTATACTGTTGATCATTCTCTCCATTTTGAAATATTCTTTCCCCTTTTACAAGAAACACTCCTTTTCCTTAGTATTTACTACTTTATTGTCACCGTATTCTCTTGGTTTTCCTCCTACCTCTTTGGCCAATATTTCTCAGTTTCTTCAGGGGAAGCGGGATTTCTTCCTCCTTAACTGACATTTTCTAATAAAATCGTTCTGAACCTTCTCTTCTCATTCAGCCCACTTTATCCCAGGCAAACAATTCTCATGATCTAGATGATCATCTATAAACTAATGACTTTAGAATTTATATCTACAGTTTCTATATTATAATTCAAATACCTTCTTGATATTTCCATGTAGATATTTCTAGGCATTAAACATAACATGACTATCATGAGTTTCTCCGAGTTTTCTTCCAGCATTCTTAATCTTTATACATATCACCACCATCTACTCAGTTTCTCTGGATTCTATATGCTAACTGTGTACCCAACACCCAGCTTGGTGGTTTCAAAGTCACCTCAAACTCAATACATTCAAGTCTAAACTCATAATTACCTCCTCTAAATCTACTTTTATTATAATATTTCATATCTCACTGAATGATAGTACTGCATATCCACTTGCACAAACATAGAACCCAAGAGTCATCCTTGATACCTCCCTTTTCCTTGTCCAAGGAGCTAAGTGTAGTGGGTTGAATTGTGTCCCTCAAACAGATAGGTCCAATTTCTAAACGCTAGTACCTGAGAACGTGACTTTTATTTAGAAAAGGGTCTTTGCAGATGTAATGAAGGTAACGCTCTTGGAATGAGATCATCCTGAATTAGACATACACCCTCTTTTCATAGAGCTAACGCTCTTGGAATGAGATCATCCTGAATTAGACATACACCCTCTTCTCATAGAGCTAACAAATAGATGTGACAGATGTTTTTATAAAAGACAGAAAAGGACACACAGAAACACAAGGGTGTCCATGCAAAGATGAGAGAAGAGATTGGAGTGATAGGTCTACACGCAAAGGAATACAAAGGATTGCTGTCAGCCACCATA